CTTTGGGCAGGGAGTTTACTGGAAACATTTTCATAGTTCGTATTGCCTCTGTACTTACACTGTTGTTGAATCTGACACTCTCAAAGAACTCTAGCAACTTCTTGAGACACGACTGACATTTATAAGGGCCAAGTTGCTCATTCTTCTTTTATCTTTAATAATGCTTTCACCATTTTGCCCAGAACCTCAGGGCAGAGAGGCTGGCTGACTGACTGATCTTCCTGGGGAAACCATTCTGAACAGCAAATTGGAAGGGTAGACCCACAGAAGTGGAGACGTTCCAACAGCTGACTGGGGTCAAATGCCTTCATGTGTGCATGCACCTTCACACACCTACCTACTGATTCCAAGAGAGTATCCAGTGAATGAAGGAGTTGGCTTTATTTCTCTAGAGTCTAACCTATTGGTTGTAGCAAGAAAGAAAACATCACCTAATGTCAATAGCTAAGAGTTGTGTTGCATCTTTAATTAATTTGGATTGCTGCTTGCAGTATAACTATGCTTGTGGCCATCAAGGTGTTGTCCACCTACCTTTGGCTGTGCTGGCTGGGACTGCTGGGAACTACAGTCCAACAACATCCGGAGAGCCATACTTTTCCCACTCTTAATCAAGACAGGTAGGCCAAGGGTGAAATGTGTTTTCTGGACAATACACTGTTATCAACTATAAATGAGGCAATCAACCAGGTGGATATTCTTCTCCACACCAATGTACCTGCAAAGCAACTTTAGAAAACCACACTGGACTAGCCCAGTGATTAAAATGCTTGTGTACTTCAAAAGCATCTAGCTGTCAATGTGGGAAATGGACCACTTATGCAGTGCTGCTCTTAGGTGTTCAGACTGAATACTTCCTGGATGTTAAATGATGGAGCATGTAGAGGTCTAATGAAGAATCAAAGCCCACAATACTTCTCAATTAACATGAACGATTCTTCACTCATTCCTGACTCATTGTATGTTGCCACCAATGAATGAGGTCTAAACAAATAAAAGAGAGAGGGCTTGACCTTCATGTCGCATCGATGCCACATTAGGATAGGGATGAGGAACCTGTGGCCTCCCAGATATGGTTGGATTTCAGCTCCTGTTGGTCTTAGACTGCATGGCTGATGATCAGGGATGGAATGACTTTCAGTTCAACATCTAGAGTTTCCCACCTTGGCACTGGAATGATATTTCACATGGAGGGAGAACAGAAAGGAAAGAAGATTAGAACCATTTGTCTGTAGTAATTGTTGGTGGGCATTAGATAGCTGCAGTCTCGCAAAGGTGTAGAAGGAAGATAGCTGGAATATGAGGAATCTTCCGGCAAAAATGCAGAAGACTCTGTCTATGTTGTCTAATCTGGGGATGCGATTATAGAGGAAGACTGGCAATTTGCTTTTTTTTCATTGCCCTTGATTGAAAAAGGGTGTGAAAAACAAGAGGGTGTGAAAACATAAATGAATTTAGTACACATCTGCTTCACTTCACAATATTTTGTGGGTTCTCTTGATGCCAGCCAGCCTACAACTTGGGTGGGGGAATCAGTTTGAAAAGTCCAGATCAGCTGAGTATATCCAAAAGGAGCTGCTTAATGGAATTTGGCTGTTTTCATAGAGAGAAAGAGAGAGAGGGAGAGCATTTAAATATTCAGCATGGGTGGCTGAGTAAGCAGCAGCCGAAGCCTGCGAGACCCAAGAAAATAGCAGAATATGCTTCAGCACTTCATTTTTCTTTTCTTACATGGCTACAAGCGAGTGCTGAACCCTGGCTTCCACCAGAGGGTGCCCCTGAGCCCAGCAATGGACCACCATCTACTCTCCTCCTGCATCCTCTGATTTCTACTTCATCTCAGGCAGCTGTGCAAAAAGCATCTCAGTGTAGAAACTAGCAGGCAGCAGTTGCCAGGCAGGTACCAGCCTTGGCTTGTGCCTGTCCCGTGCTCCTCTGATCCCCTTTTATTCATTTAACCATTTCTTTTTCAAAGGGAGGTTTCTGGCCTTTGGGTAGCCTGTGCTTTTGAGACGCGCTCCTTCCTTGGAAATTCTGAGAGAAAAGAAAAGAAACAAAGGGATTGGGAAAGAAGGGGGGGAAAACACAAAGGAAGGGGAGAGGATGGAGAAGGAGAGCAAGGCGTCCACCCAGTATGGATCCCTGGAGTCAACCAAGTGGCAAGCAGCAGAAACAGGCAAAGGTGAGATGATCTTTTACTCTGGGGAAGACCCCTTCCTGCTATTTTCTCCCCATATCTTGCCTGCAATGGGGTTTACCCATTGCAGATTTGGATAATAAATACATGTGTGTCGGGTGTATGGATTGGGTGTGCGCCTGTGCATGTTATGTGCAAAAGATGTCTATGAGTTCCCTACCCATGAGCTGCTATTTTCCCTCTGCCTTCAAAGTTTTTAGCGCAAAGCTGCTGCTACTGATGGGATTCCTCGTATCCTTCTGGCCACCCAGTTCCTGGTGTCCTGAGGCTGAGAAGGGCAGTAGGATGGGCACTTTGGTCCGCTGCCTGACTTGCTGGTGGCAGAAACTGAGCACATTTGCATCTAGCTGTGATGGGCAGAAGGGAGAGTGGAAAAAAAGGCTCTCAGGCACACAAAGTCAGGAAAGCTGGGTCTGGGCCAAAAGCTTGGTTCCTGTTCATTCACAAAAAGAAAGAGAGAGAGAGGAGAAAGGGGGGAGCACCTGGCACATATTCTTGCAGAATAGAGTTATGACCGCGAGGCATGCTGAATTGGCAAAGCGCCGGCACCTTGGCAAATGCCTTGGCATGTGTCTGCAGGGGCCAGTCTGATGAGAAATGCCAGAGATTGTTGACTGGAGAGGAAATTTTTTATTTGGGGTTTCCCCGAAAGGCCGCAGCCTCCCTGTGAATGAACCTGCGATAGCTTTAGGTTCCTTTGTGTGCTTTCCTAATGGAATCTATTTATTTCCTGGCTTGGGGTTTTTTCTGTTGTGAGGATGCCAGGCAGTGAGGGTGACATATTTCTTCCCCGCTCTGCTAAGTGCCATTGTTGCTGCCAGGTCCCTGTATTTGTGAATGGGGACAGCCAGGCAATTAGGAAGGCGCACTCTAACAACAGGCAGCAGAGGGCCAATGAAAACACTTCCCCCAGCTGAGTGGCAGTCAGGACCTGGTGGTGCTGGCACCTTTCCTTTCCTTCTGCCTGAAAAGCACAATGCCAGTGTCTTTCTCAGACCTCCCATGAACTAGTGGGCAGAAGAGAAGAACCAGGGGGATGTGTGGATCCCCCTTCTCACCCACCTCTGCCCCACCATCCATCCTTGGTCCTATCATTTTTAAAATATCATACACAGAAGATGGCAAGCAGCAGGGAAATGGAACCCATAATGCCACCCAAAGTGCCTGTTCTAACTAATAGCATGGCAAAGAAGGCTGGGTTGCTGGACAGAGTGGTCTAGTTCGGGGCAACTGGTGGGTTCCAAGGCAGTGGGATAGTGAATCCACTCTGGTTTTGCAGAGTAAACTTGAAAAAGAGATATCCAGGGTGCTGAATCCATCCTCAAATAGGTGTGGCACCTCTTTATAATTCAGACCAAAGCCAGGAACAGATTCACTGCCTCACTCCCAATTCAGACCAAAGCCTGGAACAGATTCACTGCCTCACTCCTTACTACTGCCAGCCTGGCTATTCTGCTGAATTAACTGAGTGTACAATAAGCGGTATGTCCTGTGATGCCAGAAGGGCTCTTGAGCACACTCAAGTCATGCAGGAATGCTCTATCTAGTGGGCAGGGTGAGGAAACAAGCTCATGGTGGAAAAAGCAGCAACCTCATGGCTCTTCCTCCTGAACCTTTTCTCATCTGCTGGAGGACAGAGCTGGGAATCTGCAGGGAGCCTTAGATTAACTGGCTGGCCCCAGGAATGAGGGAAGACTTTATCTCACCATTTTTTATACAGGTGACAAGGAAAGGAGCGCCATCATCTCTGTCCCCTCAGTCAACAAAATGTTTGAAACAAGCTCTGCTCTCTGCCCTCACTCAGCTATACTTAAGACCAACCAGCCAACCAACTAACAAAACCCTTGAGCCAGTTTCATACCAAACGCTGGCAGCCCTTGACACTAGGGACTGTATGGGGCAAGGAGACCAGGGTTTTATCACTCTTTTCAGCCCAGCAGGTGGAGTGAATAACAGTTCCTAATCAGAAGAACCCTTAATTTGGGAGCTTTCTTAGCAGAAAGCTTTCCTTCTTTGCTTTTGGAAAGGACTGGGGTTGCACATGACAGCCAGCCCAGTGTAGTACAGTGGTTCCCAAATGTTGGTCCTCCAGGTGTTTTGGGCTTCAATTCCCAGAAGTCCCATACATTATGGCCAACAGTCAGGAATTCTGAAGGCAAAACACCCGGATGACCAAAGTTTGGGACCACTAGTGTAGTAGTTTGAGTGCTGGACTAGAACTCTGAGAGACCAAGGTTCAAATCCTTGCTCAGACATGGAAACTCAGTGGATGATCTGAGACAAGTCACACTCCCACTCAGGCTATGAGGAGTATAACAGCAAATGCCTTCAAAATAAATCTTACCATGAAAAACCAGTCATAGGGTTGCTATAAGTCAGAGTTAATGTGAAGTCACATAGCAACAAGTGGCTCTACACTGGACATTCTTGGGAAATATGTTTCTGCAAGGGCTATTTTGGGCATGTGTTGAGCCCCTCTGGTTTGATGGGGAAGGACTTTTTAACTGTCTCTCTTTCAATAGGAGCTGCTGCAGCCCTTGTGGTTTCATAAGACCCAGCCATGAAGGTTGGAACTAGAATCTGTCCTTTGGTTTTAACATTAGGAGCTATCTTATGCTGAATCAGAACATCAGTCCATCTAGATCAAGGGTGGGAGTTGTGTGGATCTCTATATGTTGGTGGACTACAACTCCCACCCTTAAATATTCTGGCTAGGATGTTACTGGTAATCTAGGTTATTATTGTCTACAGCAACTGTTAGCAGCTTTCTAGGGTTTCAGACCGGATTTTTTAATTCATTCCTACATAGAGATCCCAGCAATTGAACCTGGGACTTTCTGCATGCCAGGCCTGCATCCTACCTACTGAGCTACAGCCCTTAGTTAGTATCCTGCAACCAGCAGAGTCTCCCAATCAGACTACTTCAGCTTTGGCTATGATGGGCTGAGCAACTTCTTTTCCCTATGCCATCCCAGGTAGATGTTTTCAGCTTTCCTCCTTTCTTGATTAATGGCAATTTCTTCCCAGGCAATGATCACAGCATCATTTAACTCAGAAGTTTGCTCCTTCCTCTGGTCTGACTCATTGGCACAGACCTGCTTGGGAGGTCATTTGGTTTTAGTAATGAAGTATTGATTTTGTCACTCTGCTCTCCTAGTACATGCCGTAAAAGGAGGAGGAGGGAAGGCAGTGGGTGCATAGTTGGACTTGGTAATGTATACAGATTATGCTGTTGCAAGCTTGTCCCTTTGTCCACTCAGATTATATTTGGCAGGGCTGATCTAGTTAGTGTGGAACACTGAGAGTCAAACCAGATAGTAAACCAAATATGTATCACTACAACTAACATGATTTCCTTTCCACAATGGGATTTCTCCAGCAATACATGCTTTGGCAATGAGACTTGCAAATTAAGCCCATGTTTATCTTCTTGTCACCAGCCACAAATTCAAGATACATAGGTGAGGAAAATAATATGCTGTCAAAAAAAGGCATCTTTCATTAGTTAGGGAAGCATATGTGCCAAAGCAAAAATGATAAATCTGTAATTAGTTTGATCCATAATGAAGTGAGGAGATTCAGTGACTCAGTCATCAACCCATGCTAACTAAATTCTACCTGTTTGTGTGAATATGAGAGGAAAAAGTGTTGATACGCAATTGCAGCAATTGGCTTCCTTTATTTTTCATTTTAATGGATTTTCATTTTTCATTTTAGTAGAAATGTCACTGTTTAAATTTTTAAACCCCCTTTTCCTGCAATTAGCTCAAGGAGATATGCATGGCTCCATTTCCCCCCCCTTTTATCATCACAACATTCCTCTGAGGTCAGGCTGAAAGAGAGTGTCATATATCCAAGGCTACCCAGTGGAGTTCAAGGTTCGAGGAGGACTCTTGTTTTGACAGGGTGCACTTGGACCTAAGAGTATAAAATTCACTTTGATAACTAAGGGGGGTTGCAGACTACCAGAAATAGTGCAAATTGAGTCCACTTTAAGGGTTAGGGTTAGTGCTAGGGAATCATGGGAATTGTTTTGTTTTTTTCTGAGACATTGAGCCTTCTCTGTCAGAGAGCTCTGGTGCCACAATAAAATACAGTTCCCATGATTCCCTAGCACTAACCCTAACCCTAAAAGTGGACTCAATTTGCACTATTTCTGGCAGTCTGCAACCCCCCTTTATTGGGTAAGCCACCTTTCCTGATATTGATGGGATTTATATCCTGCCTTTCTCCCAAAATTGGATTCAAGGAGGCCTATAATAATTTAAAAGGCAAAAAACTAAAACATTAATTGTGTTGTGTGCCTTCAAGTCATTTCCAACTTATGGTAACCCTAAAGCAAACCTATCACAGGGTTTTCTTCGCATGTTTCTTCAGAGGGGGTTTGCCACTGCCATCCTCTAAGGTTGAGAGAGTGTGACTTGCCCAAAATTACCCAGTGGGTTTACATGGCCGAGCAGGAAATCGAACCCTAGTCTCCAGAGTAGTCTAACAAATAAAATTAAATAATGCTAATATTAAAACATAAATTCAAAAAAGCATAGTTAAAACCATCTTAAAAAGCAAAAAAAAAAAAATTTAAAGCATCAAAACAACACATTACACAACATAAAATTCACCCACCAAGATCCTGCCTACATGCTTATCATATGATCTTCTTAACAGTCATAATTCTCCCCCCAATTTGCTGGATTTTCTTTAAAGCAGGATGGGCAAAGTGTGGCCCACGGCAATTTTCCCCCCTTTTGGCCCTCAGGATCCACAGGCAACCAAAAGACATATTTTAAAAAGAATAATTTTGGACCCAAAATGCCTCCTCAAGGAGCATAGTTACCATGTCCTCCCCCACTAGGCTGTCCCGGTTCCTTTTAAAAGAAACTGTTCAGTTCAGTTCCTTTTTAAAAAAGGGAAACAAAGTAACTTCTGGGTCACTTCCTATTGTAAAAAGGCCTCTTTGGTGTCTCCATCACCATGGTGAAAATGCCCCAACACCCCCTGGGGGTGTTTGGGGGCATTTTGGGAGAAAACAACCTGGGTTTGGGTTTTTTTTGGAGAGGTGCAGCCCTTCAAGTCTCCTCAGGGAAAAGCCCCCCCCAACTTCTTACACATGGCCACCCCTGTTTTAAAGGGAGGATCTATTTATTTGGTCCTTTGATGCAACAGAAATGCTACCGTGCTATTTTCTTACCACCTCCGAGGGAGGAAAGGCATACATAGATATTTGGGTTTGTAATAATTTTGGTTTTGCTTCAGAGGTTTTCCCAAGGGATGATAGTAACAAGTGCAGTCCTGATTTGAGAGTGCAGACTCTGAAATTACTCGCAATCTCTTGAAGAATGTGTCAAGAGATGAAGGGAAAAGCACTTCATGAGAGGAATAAAAAAGAGAAACGAACCCTTGGGGCCTGACTGTGGAAGGAATATCTCTGTCTAAGAGGAGTGTGGAGAGTTGCTGATACTGAATTTTCAGGTTGCAAGGAAAGCATGCTTCACATTCTCCCATTTCTTATGCACCATTCCTTACTACAACAAAACTACTGGTAATTTTCCCCCTCCTCCCTCTTCCTCTCCTTCTTTACCATTTGAGCACCCTGTCTTAGAACCTCCCATACAATCCATCTGGCAGCTGTCAGAATATTTCAAGTTCGCTAGGGTAAAATTTGAACCATTGTCACTTTGAGTGAATATATTTCTGACTGCCTCTCTGATCCACTCACTTGGAAGCACTGATTCATTCATTCCACTTGCTTCCTGTTCCCTGTCCTTTCTCGTAATGTGGCTCCTTTTTCTGTTTTGCATTTAGAGGATGAAATCGTCTCCATGGCTGACTCCACTACCACCATCGATGACATTGAAGGGGAGCTTTTCAAAATTGAGAGAATCCGTGAAGTCCTGGTACGGAGGGAGTCAGAGCTGAGATACATGTGAGTTGGAAAATGGGAAATCAGCATGCACATGAGACAGCTGAGCAAGATGCAAAAGCTTTGGGGAAAGACACTGGAGTTTATCACACAGGGAACTATGTGCTTCTATCCCGAAAATGGTTGAAGCGTATGCATCCCAGAAAAGCATGCAAATGCGCAAATAATTTTCTCACACAGAGCACAACAACATGTTAAAAGCACATTACTAATGGGAGAAAGTGGGTAGAAAGCACATTTAGTTTTCACAGAGATGGGGACAAATCCCATTGATGGTTTGGAAATAACTTTTTTGCGCATGTGCACAGAAGCAGTACTTGCATTACCAGAAATCACCCAGAGAAATAAACAATGTTATTTAATAATAATAATAATAATAATAATAATAATAATAAT